TTTCTCCCGGGCCGTGGAGAGAAGGGATAAAAGCGCACAGCCCAGGGGGGAGTGCGCTGTGACTAACTCGTTTTCCTTGCGGGAGCCGCCTCATTTGGGTGGTGGCTGCGGGCCCACTTCCCGTGTGCACGTGCATGTGGGGGGTCAGCTGTGGGCCGCTGCTCCGTCGTGGATGACTGCCAGTGCTGTGCGTGCCTTTCTTGCGTGTGTGGCTGCGTGAAGTTGCTCGGCTGCCGACTTTTTCTTTTTGCAACCTGCTCTTTTCACGGTCTTCGCTGCACTCCCTCTTCATCCCTCTATTTCTTTGCTTCTTTTTCTCCGCCGACTTCAGCGACTCTGCTACGACTCTACGACCACAAATTTTGCCTACGATGACGCTGACGGTGCGGCGCCGTGCGGTGTGCGCGTTGGCGCTCCTCGCGCTGCTCTGCGGCTGCTGCGCCTCGTTTGTCTGCGGGGCGACGGGGAGTGAGCCGTCCACAGTGCCGGTGCAGTTGGCGTGTAAGCGGGAAGGCGAACTTTTTCTTTGGCGCTTTCCCGGCGAGGGCAACTGGACGCCGTGTACGAAAGATGTGCGGAGGGGAAGATTCCTTGAGTGTTCGGCCTTGTGCCATGACGTCGAAGAGCAGTACCAGGATTGGGAGTGTGCCACGGCGTGTGCTGGTGCCAACGAGGACGCTGTTGCGTTCACGATGAATTTTCAGCGTGATCAGGGAAAGAGCGGGTTTTGCAGGGACTGGCCGGCGTCAAGCACTGCCGCCGTCGCCCTCTCCGAGACGCCAGACATTTGCCAGCCACCGTCCGCGGGGCCGGTGTTGCCTGAAGTCGCCGCCGCCGGAAAAACTCTTCGTGGTGACGAAGCGCAGCCGCCAGCGGCACCTGCAGCGGGCACCCCGGCGGCCGATGGTGCGGGCGGCGCTGAAAAGCGCACAGACGCAGCCGCCAAAGTCGGGAGCCCGGACTCTTCCAGCCCCCCGCCCACGGACCCTGCGCCCGAGGGAGGGAGCGGTGGCCCGGCCGCCCCCCGGGACTGGACCACGTTTATCAGCGACGCCGAAATGATGTTGCGGAAGAGTGCAGATGGTGGCGTCGTTGTGCGTGGGACTGCAGCTCCCTTGCTGCTGCTGCCGCTGCTGCTGGGGGATGTGGGGCGCCGGGGCGCTTGCCTGAGCGGCAGAATGCAGCGGGGGTTGAGAGGCCGAAGAGGAACACACGCACGCGTGGGACCCAAAAAAAAATTCATCGCTGTCCGTGAGGACTTTCTTTTTTGTTGTGCTCAATCAGTTTTTTTTCTTTTTTTTCTTTTTCCACGGGTGCGTAGGCCCTACGTTCGGGGCCGGGCTTACATGCACCCTTCTCTTTTCCCCGTTCTTTTGCTTGCGCGGCCCGCGAAGGGCCCTTGAAGTACAAATGACCGGTGCGAACGTGAGGAGGAGTGCAATGAAGTGAAATGCTCGGCGCCTTTGCTTTTGTCGCGTGCAGAAAATACACACTCCGTTTTTGCGAAGCCACGCGACAGCTCGCTGTCACTTCACTTTTTTTTGGAGAGAAAACATCATGGGGGAAAGTAATTCTTCGTTTGGGGTTTGTGGGGAAGTTATACATCATGCAGGACGTTTTTTTCTTTTTTTTTTCTTTTGATTCTCTTTTTTCTTTCTTATATTTCCCGTGGCTGGCCGCCGCTTGGGCTGCGGTGCCGGCTCCAGCCCCAGTTGCTCCAGTTCCGTCCTGCGCCTCTGCTGTGCGTGTGTGTTTGTCTGTGTGTCTCCACACGCTTCTCTCTTCTCCCTCTTTGCGTTGCGTGGCTGCAGGCACACACACACACACACAACCGACGTGCGCGCGATG